CTACTACTACTACTTACCATATTACTTTATTTTACTACTACTATACTACTACACTAAGGCTATACTACGACTACTATACTACTGCCACTAGCTACTACTATTACTACTAACTACTACTACTACTACTACTACTTCGACCACTACTCCTAGCAACTACTACAACTACTGCTACTACTACTACTACTACTACTACTGATACTACTGCTACTGCTACTGCAACTGCTACTACTGCTACTACTGCTACTACTGCTGCTACTACTACTACTGCTACTACTACTACTACTACTACTACTACTACTACTACTACTACTACCACTACTCCTACGACTACTACCACTACTACTGCGACTACTAAAAACTAGTAAAAGCTAGTATTCCGACTGGTTCTACTACTACGACGACTACTACTAACACTTCTACTACGACAACTACTACTATTACTACTACTGCTAGTGTTACTACTACTACTACTACTACTACTACTACAACTACTACTACTACCACCACTACTACTAGAACGACTACTACTACTACTACTACTACTACTACTACTGCTACCTGCTACTACTACTGCTACTACTACTACTACTACAACTACTACTACGACTACTACGGCTACGACTACGACTACGACTACGACTACGACTACGACTACAACCACTACTAGAACTACAACTACTACTACTACGGCTACTACTACTACTACTACTACTACTGCTACTACTACGACTACTTCTACTTCTACGGCTACGACTACGATTGCCTACTGCTGCTACTACTACTATGACTACGACTACGACTACTACGACTACTACGACTGCTACGACTACTACGACGACTACTACTACTACTACTACTACTACTACTACTACTACTACTACTACTACTACTACTACTACTACTACTACTACTACTACTACTACTACTACTACTACTACTACTACTACTACTACTACTACTACTACTACTACTACTACTACTACTACTACTACTACTACTACTACTACTACTACTACTACTACCACTACCACTACCACTACTTCTTCTACTAGAACAACTACTTCTACTACTACTACTACTACTACTACTGCTACTGCTACTGCAACTGCTACTACTGCTACTACTGCTACTACTGCTGCTACTACTACTACTGCTACTATTGTTACTACTACTACTACTACTACTACTACTACTACTACTACTACTACTACTACTACTACTGCTGCTACTGCTACTGCTACTGCTACTGCTACTACTACTACTACTACTACTACTACTACTACTACTACTACTACTACTACTACTACTGCTGCATAATCATCATCAGCATCAATCATCAGCATCAATCATCAGCATCAGCACCAGAATCATCAGAATCACCAGCATCATCATCAGCATCAATCAGCAGCAGCATCAACACCAGCATCGTAACATCATCATCATAATCATCGTCATCGTCATCGTCATCGTCGTCGTCATCATCATCAGCAGCATCATCATCAGCATCATCAGCATCATGATGATCAGCATGAGCATTATCATCGTCATCCGTATCATCATCAGCATCCTCATCAGCAGAAGCAGCACAATAATCATCATCAGCATCACAATCAACATCAGCATCATCATCAACGTCATCAGCAGCTTCACCGTGATCAGCATCAGCATCATCGTCATCATCATCAGCAGCATCATAATCATCATTATGGTCATCATCAGCATCATCATCACCATCATCAGCATCATCAGCATCAGCATCATCGATATCGTCATCGTCCTTGTCATCATCATCGTCATTATCATCAGCAGTATGGCCACCATCATCACCATCATCATTATCATCAGCATCATCATTATCATCATCAGCACCATCATCATCATCATCAGCATCATCATCATCCTGCTACTCCTCCTCCTCCTGCTCCTCCTGCTCCTCCTCCTCCTCCTCCTCCTCTCCGTCCTCCTCCTTCCGTCCTCCTCCTCCCCCTTGAGACCCCCGGCGTCGTGTCTGGTTTCCGGATCCCCGGAAGGTCTCGGCCCATCCCTCGCTCCCAGGGGACGGGCACTGTCACCCTGACCGCAAGATGCGCCACGTAATCGGCCGAAGTGAGAGGGAGGGACGTGGGAAGAGGGAAGTGGGAAGAGGTAGGAGGGAAGAGGGAAGAGGGAAGAGGTAGGAGGGAAGTGGTAGGAAGGAAGAGGGAAGTGGGAAGAGGTAGGAGGGAATGGGGGAAGGGGGAAGTGGGCGGGGCCCGCTGTCTCGTTCGACCGGGCTATCTTGACACCCACGGTCGGGGCGTGGACCGAAGGAGCCCTACATGAGGGACGAGGCCCCATTTTTGGTCCAGAGGCTGAACTTCGATTCCCCATCGAGAACCTCAGGAAAACCTGAGGCGAAGTGCAGAACAATCAAGGATTGTGGATGCCATAACAATGGACACTCTAACAATCCTCTCATTGAATTAAAAATGTGCTTAAAATGTGTAAAGCATGTTTTAGGCATCTGGATTTTTCTTTGGCAGCATGCTTCCTCTTCACTAATCGACTTCCACAAACCAAGGAACACCGAGCCCCTCCCAAACGAAAAGGGCTCCCTCTTCGGCGCCCCGACTGCACTGCACCCCCTCCACCCACCCCTCGCCCGCGCCCTCGCCCGCGCAGCACCCCCTCGCCTCGGCGGCCACGCGCCTGGCGCCGTGGCGGCCACGGCGATGCGGGCAGCGGAGACCGAAGAGCGGGGACGGAAAGCAGGAGCGGGAGAAACGGCGACCAGGGCTGATGGGCCTGTTTTCCACCACCACCACCACCATAAGTTGGAAGGGGAGGGGTTCCTCCTCCCCCTCTTTTTCCTCCTCCTCTTCCTCATCATCATCCTCCACCTCGTTCCCCCCTCCAACTTATGGTGGTGGTGATAAAAAGCAGGCCCATCAAGGGCGGCGAGATCGACGACGGGCGCGGAGGAGGCGCGCGAAAGAGAGCACTACACGCCCGACGACGCCGGCGCGGCACTCCTCCGGCGCAACGGGCAGCCGGCTGAGCATGATAGCCTCGCGCCACGCTGGGTGACGAGGACGACGAGGACGACACGAGACGAAGGCGACAGCGGCGAGGAAGAGGAAGACGACGGCAAGGAGGGAGCGGGAGCAAAGGCGAGAGGGGGGGGCGAGGAGGAGCATGGGCGAGGGACAGAGGGGGTAGCCCAGAGGACGAGGGGGAGGAGCAGCAGGACCACGAGCAGAGAGGGGAGAGGAGGGAGGAGGGAGGAGAGGAAAGCCAAGTGCTCTCGCGGCATGTCCGATATCATGCCCCTCCCACCGATCCCTCCCCATCGCGCTGAACTCTTTTCCGTCCGCCGACTGGGGTGTCCGTCCCCAAAGCAGGGCTGGACCTGAATGTTGTTTTTCGTTTTGTTTTCGTTTTGTTTTTCGTTTTGCTCTACCTGTTTTCCTGTACCTCCCTGCCAAAACGAAAAACTAAACACAGCCGAAGTCCAGCAAAACAGCGTTTAGGTCCAGCCCTGCCCCAAAGTGACCCCCTATCAAGGCATGTGCAGTCCGAAGGGGAGGGCTCTGTGCGTCGGACGAACAGGGGGAGGGAGGCGGCGGGGCAGCGGAAGGAGCAAGAGCAGGAATTAGGACGCAACTGCTGGGAGGTTTGCGTCGAAAGGATTCAAGAAGATCAAGCCCCATTGGGGGGCTGTTACGCCGGAGTGGGCCTCGGACTACGCCAGATTAAGCGGGATTAAGCGGGACTAAGCGGGGTTAAGCGGGATTACGCAGGATTAAGTCGGAGTTTGGGCCAGGGCAAAATCAGAATTTGACCTCCCAGGAGTTGCATCCGAGCAGGAGGAGGGGCACGAGGAGCAGGCGGGCCAGCGGCGGGCGGAGGAGTCGATGCCATCAGGCCAATCGCGGTCAAGCCTCAGCCGTAAGACGCAAGTGGGACCTGGGACCCCCCCACACGAGCCAGAAGTGAGTGTGCAAGCGGGAGCATTCGACTGCCCACCGTCCATCGGAGGCGGAGGACGGGAAAGGAAGGGGGCAACGACGACGTCGAAGGAGTCGGGCCCGGAAGCGTGGCCCGCGCTGTGGCGGGTGCGCAACCCTGCACAACGGCAGGAGGGCGCTGATCCTGAAACGTGGTCAGCGCTGCAGCGTGAGTACCATCTTGAATGACCAGGGGAGAGGGGATAATAATGCCCACGATGTGTGTTTGTAGGTCAGGAGGCAAAGGGGGGAGGAGGAGGAGGAGGAGGAGGAGGAGGAAGAGGAGGAGGAGGAAGAGGAGGAGGAAGAGGAGGAGGGAGCAGTAGCAGGAGCTGGAAGAGAGGCCCGACAGCGACCAGCTGCGCTTTCTGGCCACGCCCCACGACTGAAGGGGGGGTGAGCGGGAGGCGGATCCTGAAAAATGTATTCCGTCGATACAGTCTGACCCTCAACGACTGTTGCGCACAGCGGAACGCTCAAAGCCTGGACTCTCACCGAAGGGGGTGGGGCAGCACCTGTCCAGACTCTCAACGACTGCACAGCTGCTCAGAGGTGAACGAAGCCTGCCCCACTTCCCCGCCGCCCCGAAACTACAGGAATTGGCCGGGACACACGCCCCGTCATCGACTCTGCATGGGAAGGGTTGTGAAGATGTTTGCCGACCAACAGACCTGAAACAGCACACGACCTCGACTGAAGCAGTATATTATTTCTTGGCATCAAACGAAAGTCTATGAATTCTCCAGAGCGCCAAGAACACCGCTGATACTCAGGAGGCTTCAAACAGACTCATCACTCATGGCAAGCTCCGCGATGCCAGTGAGCAAATTGTAACGACGTCTGAGCTCCAAACTGCTGCTGCATCCAGCGGCAAAACCAAACCGTCTGCAAACCATCAGCACTCGACTGGAGCTGCTATCGGCATCAGATGGCACGCAGTAGTAAGCAGTCTCGTCAGTCCTGGCAGGCTCTGGGATGTTCATGAGAACACCTGCAACGGCTTCTGGGCTCCAAGCTGCTGCTGCTGCTGCTGCTGCTGCTGCATCCAGCGGCAATCCAACGCGTCTGCAGAGCATGAGCACTTGACTGGAGCTGCAGCGCTCTGTGGGCATCAGATGACACGCACTGGTTTCGTCAGAGCGACAAACACTCCGATGAGAATTAGGGTTTCAAGCAGTCTCATCATTCCTGGCAGGCTCCGCGATGCCAATGAGCACACCTGCAACGGCTTCTGGGCTCCAAACAGCTGCTGCATCCAGCGGCAATGCCAACGACTCTGTAAAGCATGAGAACTCGACTGGGGCGGCAGCGCTCTATCGATATCAGATGGCACGCACTGGTTTCGTCTGAGTGACAAGCAGTCCGATGAGAATTAGGCTGTCAAGCAAATCTCATCATTCCTAGCAGGCTCCGCGGTACCCATGAGCAAACCTGCACCGGCTTCTCGGCTCCGAGCAGCTGCTGCGTCCAGCGGCAATGCCAACGCATCTGCAAAGCATAAGCGCTTGCCTGGAGCGGCAGCGCTCTATCGGCATCAGATGACACGCACTGGTCTCGTCAGAGTGGCAAGCACTCCGATGAGAATTAGGGTTACAAGCAGTCTCATCATTCCTGGCAGGCTTCGCGATATTGATGACAACACCTTCAACGGCTTCTGGGCTCCACTGCTGCTGCTGCATCTAGCGGCAAAACCTACGCACCTGCAAAGCAAGAGCACTCGACAGGAGCTGCAGAGCTCTATCGGTGCCAGATGACACGCATCAGTGTCGTCAGAATGACAAGCACTCCGATGAGAACGGGTTTCAAGCAGTCTCACCATTCCTGGCAGGTTCCGCGATATTGATGAGAACACCTGCAACAGCTTCTGGGCTCCAGACTGCTGCTGCATCCAACGGAAAAGCCAACGCATGTGCAAAGCATGAGCACTCAACAGGAGCTGCAGCGCTGCCAACACATCTGCACATCTGTAAAGCATGAGCACTCGACAGGAGCTGTAGAGCTCCATCGGCATCAGATGACACGCACTGGTTTCGTCAGAGTGGCAAGCACTCCGATGAGAATTAGGGTTTCCAGCAGTCGCATCATTCCTATCAGGCTCCGCAAAGCCAATGAGCACACCTGCAACGGCTTCTGGGCTCCAAACTGTTTCTGCTGCTGCTGCATCCAGCGGCAATGCCAACGCACTTGCACAGCATCAGCACTCGACTGGAGCTGCGGCGCTCTATCGCCATCAGATGACACGCACTAGTTTCGTCAGAGTGACAAGCACTCCGATGATAATCCCACCAACCCTCTGGGCGTAGGTGGTCTAGGGAGGCTCCTTCCAACCCCCTTCTTCCCCTTCGGAGAAAGGTTTATCCCTCCCCCTACCGCCTTCCCTGGACCTGGACGGGGGATCCGCGGGAAGTTCGAGCGTCTAAGATAGCCCAAGACGGCTCCAAGAGGGCCTCGGAGAGCCCAAGATGACCTCCAAGATGGCTCAAGATAGCCCAAGATACCTCGAGATGGCTCCCAAAATGCTTCTAGAGGCCCCACGAACGCTCCAAGACGGCTCCAAGTGGCCACGAAGCCTCCAGGAGGCCGCCAAGAGTAAAGAAAATCCGCCGACCCTGTCGGCATGTGGAAGAGGCTGTTCCGTTTGACTCGTCGTAGTCGTCGTCATGGTCGTTGTCGTCGGAATCGTCGTCGCCTTCGCCGCTCCTCTCCCCTTTCCATAGTCCCGTCGCCGATCCCCCCACTTTCACCGGGCCCTCCTCCAAGAGCGCGCCAGCCACAGCGAAATTGAGCAACGTTGTACTTGAGTCGAAGGAAAGCCCCTTCCCTTTGCTCGCTTCCCCGACGGGCGGGGGGGAGGGTCCGGGGGGGGGTCCCGGGGGCGGGTCCTGGGGGGGTCCCGGGGGAGCTCCCGAGGGGGGCTCCCGAGGGGGGTCGCCACCTAGATACGACCCCCCCGGGCGGTTCGGGGGCCCAGAAAAGCCCCAAGACGCGGCAAAAGTGCCCCAAGATGCCCCCAAGACAGTCCTCGAGGGCCCCGATTCGCCGAAGTATCGGTCCAAGTCGCCAAAGCAGTCTCCAGAAGGCTCAAAAGGTTTCCAAAACGCCCCAAGAGGCCTCCAGAGGACTTCCAACAGGACCCCAAGGGGCAAAACTCATCGATTGTTCTTGGGTGTTTGAAAGATTTCGGCATCCTCGCCTTGCCAACTTCCCGACGCTCCAAGACAGGCCAAGAGGCCCCCAAGACTACCCCAGGATAGCCCAAGAGGCCTCCAAGAGGGCCCAATGACGACCAAAGAGGGCCCCAAGACCGCCCAAGAGGCCTCCAAGACAGCCGAAGAGGCCCCCAAGACGGCTCCAAGAGTGAGCGCAGACGGGGGACCCGAACGGTCATTTCGAGCCCTCGGCCTGAGAAGCTCCCAGGAGGCCCCCAGAGGCACCTAAAAAGCCCCCCCCCCGAGGGCCCAAGAGGCCCCCAAGAGAACCAGGAAGCCCCAAGAGGCCCCCACGAGGCACCCAAGCGGCCCCCAAGAGCCTCCAAAAAGGCTCCCCCCAAACTACCCCCAAGAGGCCCCCGAGAGCGCTCGTCGTCGTCGTCGTCGTCGTCGTCGTCGTCGTCGTCGTCGTCGTCGTCGTCGTCGTCGTCGTCGTCGTCGTCGTCGTCGTCGTCGTCGTCCTCGTCGTCGCCGTCGTCGACACCGGCCGTAAGGCCTCCGCAATCAATGATTTTTGCCTTCTCGCCTTTTCGCTTCGCATGGCCGTCCGAGGCCTCAAGACGGCTCCAAGAGGGCCCCAAGAGCGCCCAAGAGCGCTCAAAGGGCGCCCCAAGAGAGGCCCAAAAGGCGATTTGTGGGACTCCCGAGGGAGGGCCTTAATTAAGGATCCCCCCTTCTTTGATCGATCTCCTCCAAGATGGCCCCGAGAGCGCCCCTAAGGCTTCCAAGAGCGCCTCAAGATGGACACAAGAAGCGCCCAGGAGGCCTCAAGAGGCGCCCAAGAGGCCTCCAAGGGGCTCCCAAGAGACCCCCAAGAGGCCCCAAGAGGCTCCCCGAGGCACCCAAGACGCTCCACAAGGCCTCCGGGACCGCCAAGAGGCCCCCAAGACGCTCCAGGAGGCCTCAAAAAAGTTTCCAAGAGACATCCGAAGAGAGTCTGAGAGGCAACTCGACTAGGCATCGTTTCTGGATGGGCTGATGGGGATACTTTTTTGGGAGGGTGAAAGAGGGGGTCTGCAACAGGGGGTCTTCAATGGGGGCTGAATGGCCCATGTATGCTCAATGTATCGTTCATGTATGTGATCGGGTACGATTGGCATCCAATGCTGGCGGTCATTGATGGCCAGTCATTCGTGCCCGCGCGTTGCCCGCGCGGTCACACGCGCCGTCCATCCATTATCGTTCATGCGTGCGGGCGTTCTTGCATATTGCGTGTGGGTCGGCGAAGTGGAGTGCAAGTGTGTCTTGATTGTGCGGTTGATGATCGCGTATGTTCCCAAACGATGACTTCTCGACCCCCAAGACAGATTTGGAATGGGCCCCGCGATTCTCCCAAAATGTGAATTCAATTTTCCTTTTTCCCAAAATGTGAATTCACATTTTCCTTTTTCCCAAAATGTGAACTCACATTCTGGCCCCTTCATAAAGCATCCGACACAAAATTCCAAAATGTGAATTCACATTTTCCTTTTTCCCGAAATGTGAATTCACATTCTCCTTTTTCCCAAAATGTGAATTCACATGTTGCTTTTCCCCACACTGTAAATTCACATTTTGCCCTGGCCTTCAAGATCCCAAAAACTGAGGCGCAGTGTTCCGCATGTCAGATTGGCTGGGCAGACTTCGACACTTACCTGACCGCTTTCGTGTGTTCCAGCCTTTTCTTGTTGCGCCCTTAGCGCACGTTGCCTTCGTCGCCTTCCCCGAGCCCCCCGCCACCTGGCTTCCTTTCCCCTCAAGTCTCGCGCGCGGGTGCAGGGGGGGCTTCAATTAGTTCCCCCGCCGAACACAGCAATCGAGGATGTATCGCCCATTCATGGCCTTAAAAAACATCATTGCCGGGACCCTGCGCCCGACCCCCACTTTCACCCTCCAATTTGTTTTACAGCCGCAGGCGGAAGCGCCGGCGGCGAGCAGTACTGATGGGGATTTTTTTTACAGCCGCAGGCGGAAGCGCCAGCGGCAGGCGGTCACGGTCGGGCTGCGGCCGCGACTAGGGAGCGGGCGCGCGCGGGACCGCGGTCAGGCGGCAGGCAGCAGCGACCCAGGGCGTCTGAGCCAAGGCGTGCAAATCCAGGGAGTCTGCAGGGCAGCCCCTGAAAGGAACATGCAACGGCGCATCCAGGGAGTCTGACCACAGGCACCGAGGAAGCAGAGCGCAGCCAAAATGGCGCGTAAGGCGTTCCCAACAGTTCGGGTACGAACGGGTAGGAAACGGTCCCGAGCAAGACGTCAATCCAAGGAGTCTGACGGGTAGGCACAGACTGACTGGTGACACAGTCCAGCGGGGAAACCCTGACGGCGGAGGCGGACCATCGCGACGTCAGAATACGCATCCAGGGTGTGGATCAGAGCCTGATGGGGATACGCGAAGCGTCAAGAATTGGGGTGTCAAGCAGACTCATCATTCCTGGCAGGCTCCGCGATGCCAATGAGCACACCTGCAACCGCTTCTGGGCTTCAAACTGCTGCTGCTGCATCTAGCAGTAGAGCCGCCGCACCTGCGCAGCAGGAGCACTCAACAAGAGCTGCAGCGCTCTATCGGCATCAGATGACATGCACTGGTTTCGTCAAAGCGACAAACACTCCGATAAGAATTAGGGTTTCAAGCAGTCTCATCAATTCCTGGCAGGCTCCGCGATACCAATGAGCACACCTGCAACGGCTTCTGGGCTCCAGACTGCTGCTGCATCCAGCTGCAATGCCAACGCATCTGCGAAGAACGAGCACTCAACAGGAGCTGCAGCGCTCTATCGGAATCAGATGACACGCACTGGTCTCGTCAAAGTGGCAAGCACTCCGATGAGAATTAGGGTTTCAAGCAGTCTCATCATTCCTGGCAGGCTCCGCGATGCCAATGAGCACACCTGCAACGGCTTCTGGGCTCCAAACTGCTGCTGCATCCAGCGGCAATGCCAACACATCTGCAAAGAATGAGCACTCAACAGGAGCTGCAGCGCTCTATCCGCATCAGATACGCACTGGTTTCGTCAGAGTGGCAAGCACTCCGATGAGAATTAGGGTTTCAAGCAGTCTCATCATTCCTGGTAGGCTCCGCGATGCTAATGAACCCCTCTGCCACAGCTTCTGGGCTCCAAACTGCTGCTGCATCCAGCAGTAATGCCAACACATCTACAAAGAATGAGCACTCAGCAGGAGCTGCAGCGCTCTGTCGACATCAGATGACACGCACTGGTTTCGTCAAAGTGGCAAGCACTCCGATGAGAATTAGGGTTTCAAGCAGTCTCATCATTCCTGGCAGGCTCCGCGATGCCACTGAGCACACCTGCAACGGCTTCAGGGCTCCAAACTGCTGCTGCATCCAGCGGAAAAGCCAACACATCTGCAAAGAATGAGCACTCAACAGGAGCTGCAGCGCTCTATCGGCATCAGATGACACGCACTGGTTTCGTCAGAGTGGCAGGCACTCCGAGGATAGTAAGGGTTTCAAGCAATCTCACCATTCCTGGCAGGCTCCGCGATGCCCATGGGCACACCCGCAACGGCTTCTGGGCTCCTAACTGCTCCTGCTGCTGCTGCTGCTGCCAGCGACAATGCCAAGGCACTTGCAAATAATGAGCTCTCGACCGGAGCTGCAGCGCTCTATCGGCATCAGATGACACGCACTGGTTTCGTCAGAGTGGCAAGCACTCCGATGAGAATTAGGGTTTCAAGCAGTCTCATCATTCCTGGTAGGCTCCGCGATGCTAATGAACCCCTCTGCCACAGCTTCTGGGCTCCAAACTGCTGCTGCATCCAGCAGTAATGCCAATACATCTACAAAGAATGAGCACTCAGCAGGAGCTGCAGCGCTCTGTCGACATCAGATGACACGCACTGGTTTCGTCAAAGTGGCAAGCACTCCGATGAGAATTAGGGTTTCAAGCAGTCTCATCATTCCTGGCAGGCTCCGCGATGCAAATAAGCAATTCTGCGAGGGCTTCTGGGCTCCTAACTGCTCCTGCTGCTGCTGCATCCAGCGGCAAAGCCAACGCACCAGAAAGGCAGGAGCACTCAATAGGAGCTGCAGCGCTCTATCCGCATCAGATGACACGCACTGGTTTCGTCAGAGTGGCAAGCACTCCGATGAGAATTAGGGTTTCAAGCAGTCTCATCATTCCTGGTAGGCTCCGCGATGCAAATGAACCCATCTGCCACAACTTCTGGGCTCCAAACTGCTGCTGCATCCAGAAGTAATGCCAACACATCTGCAAAGAATGAGCACTCAACAGGAGCTGCAGCGCACTGTCGGCATCAGATGACACGCACTGGTTTCGTCAAAGTGGCAAGCACTCCGATGAGAATTAGGGTTTCAAGCAGTCTCATCATTCCTGACAGGCTCCGCGATGCCACCGAGCACACCTGCAACGGCTTCTGGGCTCCAAACTGTTCCTGCATCCAGCTGCAAAGCCAACGCATCTGCAAATCATGAGCACTCAACAAGAGCTGCAGCGCTCTACCGGCATCAGATGACACGGAATGGTTTCGTCAGAGTGGCAAGCACTCCGATGAGAATTAGGGTTTCAAGCAGTCTCATCATTCCTGGCAGGCTCCGCGATGCCAATGAGCACACCTGCAACGGCTTCTGGGCTCCAAACTGCTGCTGCATCCAGCTGCAATGCCAACGCATCTGCAAATCATGTGCTCTCAACAGGAGCTGCAGCGCTCTATCCGCATCAGATGACACGCACTGGTTTCGTCAGAGTGGCAAGCACTCCGATGAGAATTAGGGTTTCAAGCAGTCTCATCATTCCTGGTAGGCTCCGCGACGCCAATGAGCACACCTGCAACGGCTTCTGGGCTCCAAACTGCTGCTGCTTCCAGCGACAATGCCAAGGCACTTGCAAAGAATGAGCTCTCGACCGGAGCTGCAGCGCTCTATCGGCATCAGATGACACGCACTGGTTTCGTCAGAGTGGCAAACACTCCGATGAGAATTAGGGTTTCAAGCAATATCATCATTCTTAGCAGGCTCCGCGATGCAAATAAGCAATTCTGCAACGACTTCTGGGCTCCTAACTGCTCCTGCTGCTGCTGCTGCATCCAGCGGAAAAGCCGACGCACCTCCAAAGCAGGATCACTCAACAGGAGCTGCAGCGCTCTATCCGCATCAGATGACACGCACTGGTTTCGTCAGAGTGGCAAGCACTCCGATGAGAATTAGGGTTTCAAGCAGTCTCATCATTCCTGGTAGGCTCCGCGATGCAAATGAACCCCTCTGCCACAGCTTCTGGGCTTCAAACTGCTGCTGCATCCAGCAGTAATGCCAACGCTCTATCGGCATCAGATGACACGCACTGGTTTCGTCAAAGTGGCAGGCACTCCAATGAGAATTAGGGTTTCAAGCAGTCTCATCATTCCTGGCAGGCTCCGCGATGCCAATGAGCACACCTGCAACGGCTTCTGGGCTACAAACTGGTGCTGCATCCAGCGGCAATGCCAACGCATCTGCAAAGCATGAGCACTCGACAGGAGCTGCAGCAAACACTCCGATGAGAATGCGACCAGCCCTCTGGGCGGAGGTGGTTTAGAGCCCTTCCTCTTCCAATCCCCCTTCCCCACCTGACCTGCGACAAACACGAAACCATGAGGCCTCCCCACCATCCCTGCCTAAACGATACAGAAATCACGTTGCCGCAAAATCGGGGGGGAGGCGGCATCTTGCCACACGTTTGCAGGCCCACCAAAACCAATGCAAAGCACACGGTGCGGCTAAATCGTGTACCACGCGTGGGCGCCCCGTGATCACTTCACAGTGTGATTTGAAAATGATGATAGGCGGGACCCCGGCACGCGCGGCACACCGCGCGGGCGTGTCGCACCTGGCGTTTGCACTGGTTCCCGATGACTGTAGATAGCGGCCCCTGCCCATGCTGAAACTCAGGCGCTACTCATGTATTGGGAAGGCGGGTGGGAGTGAGCGAGACGGCTTGCAGATTGAGGGTAGCTGGATCACTGCTCCCTGTTTGTGAACTCCCCTCCCCCAGGCGACCGGCAGCCAACCAGGACCAACGATGGCCCTCCAACCTTCCCCGTCAAAAGACAGTGTGCAGCCCAATCATGAGTCATGATCGGGGGGGCCGCGAGCACTTCGCATTGTGTCTTGACCGGGACGGCATTGCATGCCCGCAGATTGCCTGATGCGCGCAGGGCCACCATCCCCGTCAAAAAACAATACAAAATGCACTTCGAGGCAAAATCTGGATCATACGCGGACACCCCGCGATCACTGTGCATTGGTTTTTGACTGGGACGGCGGGGGTGCTGGCAAATTCCCTGTTATGTGCAGGCCCACCAGACGCTATAACGGCAACCCCGCCGCGATTGCGCACTGGTTTTCGACAAGGGTGGTGGTGGCCGACACGTTTCCCGATGTGTACTGCAACGTGCGCGAGCGCGCCTGGCACACTCTGCGCGTGCCCCGAACGTGGCGCACCTAGTGCGGCTGAAGCATGCGGCACAGATGGCGCACGTATCACGTGGCGAATCTGGCGCACCAGGCGTGCCAGGCACGCTTGGGCCACAGGGGTGCATGGCGCTCCTGGCGCGCTTGGCGCGCCTGGCACGCCTGGCGCACCTCGCCCCAGCGTTGCGCACATGGCGTCTGTTTGGGTTCCGATGTGCTGTCCGTCCAAAGACTACCGCTGAACACGCTGCGGCTCGGATGATACTTATGTGTTGGGCGGGTGGGAGTGAGCGAGACGGCTTGCGGGCGGGAAGGGTGTCTTGATACCTCCCCCTGGGGTTAGAGCGTCTGAGAAGGCCTCAGGGAGAAAGAAACAATGGTTAGTTTCGTTAGGTGTTGGGCCAAGTTTAGCCTTCTGGGGGGCGAGGCTAACTAACGCCGCCCCCTGTTTCAACTCGCTGGCCTCCAAGATGCCCCCAAGAGAGCCGCCAGGCAGCCCCAAGGAGCCCCCCAGAGGCCTCTGCGAGGCCTCCAAGAGACACCCTCAAACAAGACCCAGGGATGCATCCAAGCGGCATCTGGCCCACCGAGGCTCCCCGAGGCATCTCGACGATGCCACGCTCACCCGATAAGAACCACTTCACCTCCTGGGCGTTCCAAGATCGGCGGGTGGGGGTACGCGAAGCGTTGAAAATTACAGTCAACCCGTGTAATAAGGATGCGCGGTAAGGATGCAAGGGCCTTAGAGGGCCATGTCAACGTTGGCCAGCGAAAGTCGCTAAGGATGGGCCGAAGGGCAAGGATGCAAGGATAGCCTTGGGAAGGTTGCCCATCCTTGCCATGCGGGTTGACTGTATGTATAAGCATGGAGTAGGCATACGGATAAAGTATACAGGGCTCAGGGCCTACCAGAAAATAACAAAACACAGCAAGAGCAGATCGATGCTTGACGCAGGAAGGCGCTTGAAATAGACTGGGATCTGGGATTCCAAAAATACTTACTTTCAACAACCAACGCGTAGGGTTTCAAGCAGTCGTATCATTCATGGCAGGTTCCGCGCTACATGGGGAGCATGACCGCAACAACGAGCACGCTCCCAACAACTGATGGGCATCTGATGGCACGCGCGGAATTGCCAGTGCAAAAAATCGGCAGTGAATAGTGTTTCGAGCGGTCTCACTATTTCTGGGGAGCTCTGCGTTCTCAAGGAACGCACCTTTATCGGCGACACGGCTCCCAGTTGCTGTTACACACAGCAGAAATTCCAATCTGCACACTGGAGCTGCAGTGCTCTCTGGCTCTCTCTCTCTCTCACTCTTCCACTCTCTCTCTCTCTCTCTCTCTCCCTCTCTCCCTCTCTCTCTCTCTCTCTCT